TTATATAGCACTTTAAGATCTGATAAGTTCCTTACATGTTATGAACTTGTTTGATTTTCATGACAACTCTTTCAGGTAAGTGCTGGTGTTGTCTCCATTTGAAGATGAGGTAACTGGAACTGAGAGAGATTAAGCAACTTACTTAGAGTCACATAGCTAGTAAGTGTCTAAGTTAGGATTTGAAACCTGGTTCTCCTGATTCCATTCTAGATAACACAGGTAAAATGCTTTGCAAACCTTATAGCCTGTATAAATGCTAGTTATTATTATACCATGCTATCTTCAAAATATAAAGTGCTTAAAACAGGAAGGACTTGTACCCAAGGCCACAAATATGAAAACAACTTTTTTTCCCCTTTCCAGTGACCTCTACTCTCCCCAAAGACTTAGACTTCTAGACCCATAGCACTGCTCTCAAATTAAAAGTTCCCAGTGAGAAAAAATTGCTTTGGATTATGACTGTTGACTCCTTTCCCCTAGACATAGACAATGTCTATAACTTGCAGCAGTTATAGAGAGCAAAGCCCAGATTGGTTCTTCTATGGTTTGGCTATGGCAATGGCTCCTGCTTTGAGTTCTGGATTGGTCCTGAAACTCTACTACTTGGTTTAGGTGGCTTCTTCTCAGAATTTCCCTGCTTGTCTAGGAACTCCTTAGTAGCTCCATCTCTTCTTCTAGTCACTGTCACCTCTGGGGACATGTGGTTTCTTCCTCTCCTGGGAAGATAGAGCTCCCCACAGGTGCTCTGGAGATGTCCAGGCAACTCTTCTTCAGTGGGTAGAGCCTTTCTCCTTTCTTCCTTGTCTATTGACTCTGGTCCTCTCCTTGGTGTGCACTTGTCCTCTCTCTCTCTCTCTCCTCTCTCTCTCTCTCTCTCTCTCTCTCTCTCTCTCTCTCTCTCTCTCCTACTGTCTCTCTCTGTCCTTGTAATTCTGTTTCCAATATGGTTGAACCATTTGGCTCCTGAGACCTTTGATGACCCTGAAATACTATGATTCTGCAAATTTCAGTTATTACTGAACAGGAACTAATAGAAAATGTGTTATCTTAGGAAGCCTGGGAAAGGGGTCTAGTCTACAATCTATTTCATGCATTTTGATGGTCTGTTTACGTCTTGGACCATCTTAAAAATCATCTTCATCATCATCATCATCATCATCATAATTATTATCATCATCAATTACTGATCATCCTCTCACACCCATGGCTACATGACATTGGGCAAGCAACTATACTTCCTGAGGCCTCAATTTCTTCTCCATTAAATGAAGGAATATATCTACATAATTATGAATATCTCTTTCAACTCTGCTGTTTTATTGTTCTATTGTTTTCTACCAAGAGCTTCTAGGGCACTATCCTAAATAATGAGAATATATGGGGATATTAGACATAGTGATTAACTTTGAGGGATATATAGCCTAGTGGGGGAAATAGAACAGGAACATTAAAAAAAGAAAACATAGAAATGAAATGGTGCCAATTGCTAAATGGATGGTGCAAATATTATAGTGTGAACAAATGAAGAAAATGGAGAAATATGAGTATGAATTAATCTAAAAGAAGAGATTTTCTGAAAAAAAAAAGCTTGGTGGAAGAGACTTAAAGAAGTGACTGCATTTGATTTCTTGGTCTTTCTTACCATTGTCCAAATCCAGATATAGCTTTCTATCTTATCAGCTCTATTGAAATCCAGCTAATCATTGTCTCACCCTCCCATCCAATGTCCCCTGGGATCTCTAGGGTCCTTATCCGCAAAAGTTCAAATGACTTGTAGTCCTCAGAGTGGATGTATATGTATTTGCTCCCAGGGTTCCAGATCAAAGTTAATCAGTTCAGAGACTTCTCACAGCCTTCAAAGGAGTAGAGGAAGTTTAGTGCCTAAAAGTACTTGGCTATGGGTGTGATTCAAGGAATGGATAACTAGCCACACTAGCTACACCATTCGTTCCTTTCAAATCTTTTATCTCTAAAAGTGAATTTTTGATTAATTGAACACAAAAGTTCATAAGCCAAGAAAGGGGGGGTTAGGAGGAGAAGAGTGTTAAACAATGGTTACTGATCTATTCCATTCTTGGTTCTGAGGCTAAGCAGTTCTATGTGACCCTGGATAAATCACTTCATCTCCTTTAGCCATATATAAATTGAAGGGAGTGGTGTACTGTGATTATGTCATTTGGAGGTGGTTTCTCTGGCTCCATCAAGGATTAGCTACTGGCCCTTGACCTCCTTTGGGTAAGGTCCTATCTTTGAGATCCAGGGATCATATATAATTGATAATGGTTTTTTCCCCGTAATATGATTCCCATTTTCTGGTAGTTTCTCATTAGTAACTTGAACATTTGAAACACTGAGAATGTGAAAAAAAGGAAAATAACATAATTCTTGCTCTTAAGTAAGTTAACAATATAGTAGAGGATAATATTTTAATATATCAATGGATTTAATATGTCATTGATGGTAGTACTTCCTACAGGAGAAGAGATTGTAACCCATGCACTACTTCTCATTTGGTGAAGCTCTTGTCTATCTACTTCTATTAATTTTACACAGGGAGTCCCCTAACATCTTGGGAACTTTAGGTCTCTAAGCATTGAATAGACTTAAGCATTGAATAGATATTAATGTGGCATATAGACTGTCCATCTGTTATCACCTGTTATTTTTTAAAACTCTTATTTAATCTTTTATTTTTCCCAATTACATGTAAAAACAATTTTAACATTTCTTTTTTTTCAAATTTTGAGTTCCAAATTCTCTTCCTCCCCCCTCACTCCCCCTTTTTGAGAAGACAAGCAATTTGATATAACTTATACATGTATCACCTGTTATTTCTATGAGATGAAACTGCTTCGTTTTCTTTTCCTGCATCTCTTGGTGGTGATCACAAATCATTGTTAACAGTACCATACATCGATTTTCACCCACCACTTCTCCAATGTCCTTTGGTTGATCTGCAATAAGATTGCAACGTTCCTTGACTTGGAATCAGATAACATCACCAGAGGAATAGAAGTGTTCAAAAGTTGGGTTTTTATTTCAAATTACATAACTATGATAGAAATTAGAAGGAAGTAATTGCATAAAAGAAGTCAAACATAAGGGGATGAAAAATTTCAGCACAGGATTATTTTTAGTTGGGGAAAATCAAGGAAGAATTCATAGAGGAAGTGGAACTTTATCTATACCTTTAATAGGTTGAAATGTAGGAGTGAACCTGTTCCAAGCAATTGTATAAGTGCTGAACACATAGAAAGGAGAGAGCAGGACGGGGGCTATGCAAGGTTTTTGATAAGGTGAGTAAAGTGGTCAGATCTGTGATTTAGGAATCACTAGGAAGGATAGATTGAAATGAGGAAAGATTGGCTAGTGAGAATGGGTTGGGTTTCTCTGAATCATGAGGAAGTTTCAGTGTTTCTTCGTTTAGTGAGGTGTGACACACAATTTCCAAGCGATTTATGAGATAAGAGTATTCACTATTGTGCTTTCTACTATGTAATGTGATATGCTTTCCATAATTGTTGTCTCCCAATAAATCCTAGAGGTCTACTGGGGTAAGTTCTAAGAGTGACTATGGGAGGATGGGAGAAAAAAGTTCTATTAAAAAAAAAACAAACAAGCAGGAAATAGGTCTTTGCCCTTGCAAATAGGAATAGGAATTAGAGACCAAGAGTACATTCTATAAATGTAAGAAAAGTTCTGGGCTTGAAAAAGATGATGTAGAAGTTTCTGTCATGAAGAAGGTAAATGGCCCAGTGGATAGAATGCTGGACTTGGCATCAGGAAGGCTTGAGTTCAAATCGTGCCTCAGACAATTATTAGATTATGACCTTGGACAAGTCACTTAACTTCTGTATTCCTTAATTTCCTCATCTGTAAAATAAAGATAATTGTACCTACCTCTTAACATTGTTATGAGGATAAAATGAGATATTTATAAAGTACTTTGCAGACCCTTAAGTGCTGGGTATTTATTGTTATTATTATTATTATTATACAAACCCAACCAGTCTGTCTCTCATTACTGATTGGTAACGTATTTCTGGAGGGCAGCGTACAGTTCTCCTGTCTTGACAGAATATAGAAGTAGATACAGAATTGCAAATATTCACTAAGGAAATAAAAATATACTTTGTCAGTGGATTACCAAGCCTAGTGGAAGGAGTCATGGATTTGGAATCAAAAGGCCTGGACTTGAATATCACAACTCTATTACTTCTTAGCTATGAGGCTGGGCAAATCGCTTAAATTCTCTGAGCTTCCATTTCTTTATATAGCAATGGTTTCAACTAGACTAAGGTCTCATCTAGTTCAAAATCTCATGATCATATGTTTCCAAGTCCTTACCTTGTTGCTACGTAGCTATGTGTTTTTTCTCTAAGTTCTTTATCCACAAAATGGAGCTACCTGCCCTGGCTGCCTCATGGCATTGTGAAGAGCAAATGAGATGAGGGATTTGGAAGTCCTTGGCTAACTGTAAACCCTTGTACAAATGTGTGTGTGTGTGTGTGTGTGTGTGTGTGTGTGTGTGTGTGTGTTGTGTGTGTGTGTGTCTGCACTAATACTTTGGTGAATCCATGATCTCAATGATGTGGGAATTCCTTCCAACGATGCAAATTGGAAGCCATTCATGTCTTCTCGAGCCACATGACTTTTGTCTTTGTTCTCCTATAAATCATCTATCCATAGGTAATTCAAGCAATGTGCTGGAGGCCTTTCCTTATCTTCAATCCCATCCAACAGACACATGTTAATTGTCTACTACCAGCAAGGAATTGATATGGACAAACACAATCACAACTCAGTGACAATTTTGAGAATTTGGAGAAATTGGAAACTTTCCCAAACTAGAGGTCAGTAGGAGTAGAGAGGCTATGCAGTTTTGATAGGTATCTCTTACCATTGTCTAAAAATGAAATCCTGAACAAGACTCATGGGTGACCACAAGTGGCCTCTCATTGGATTTTCATGGAAGTTGGCATCTTTTTTGCTGCTTGCAGCATTTTGTGCTCATCCAGAAGGTGAGAGAGCAGGTGGCACTGAAAGGAATGCCAACATCTCCATGGCAAATAGAAGGAATGGAGCAGGAGAAACACCTGAAGCACTCTCCATGCACCACGAAATACCAGTGGCTACAATATAAGAGGAATCCGATTGGGAAGGACTCAGAGGTTGTATGATATGAGGCCAAAACCTTTGTCATTTGGAGGTACAAAAGACAGGGACTCTTGCTTGTATGTAAAACAAGGACTGTTTGGGGTTCACAATGAAGTACTGCATGGTCAACCTTTCTTACTCCATTACACTAACTACCTTATGGGACAGCACCATGTCCTCCCTCCAGGTCAGCAAGAGGTATCCATGGGGCCATGAAGGGAGCATTCCTTAGGGCAAATTATCCCTGAGATATCCTTTTCCCCTTGGCTCCCTCTTCACTATTTGCAGAGTAGCCCACATCCTGCTCTGCCTGGATTGTCTTGGAGCATAGATTCCACTGGTCAATGCAGGTTCCCCTATGTTCCAGGAGCACTTAGAAGCCTTTTTGTTGGATGGCAGAGAAGGAAGTGGCAAATTATATCATTGATTTCAAAGTGCTTTTGCAATTGGAGTCATGCCAAATCTTTCAGGAGGCAATCAATCAGACACACCTATTCTGTTCCCATAGATTAGTGAACTGCCTGTGAGTTAGTTTATTTCCTTTTAATAGATTTATTGCAGCAATGGCAAGAGACTACACCTGAGAGCACGCCTCCTCATACCTCAGAGCATATAAATTTCGAAGTGTCTTTATTGAGGTTGACAGGGGCCCAGCAAAATGGGCATCTCCATATTCCTGGGGATATGCCTGTTATGGTGCCAACTTCTATATGCAGGTACTGTGTTACTAATTATGGTATATGTATATTTTCCTCCAAAGTCCTACTTAAATGAGTTTTAATGTTTTAGACCCTAATCTTAGACTCTTTATTTCAGGAGAAATTTTAGGAGATGAAAGTAGCCAGTAGACCTTGGTTATGATTATTTACAAAGTGTCTTACACACAGTAGGCCTTGAATAAGTGGTTGTTTTGTTGAATTGGATGAAAGATATTTTTTTCCTCCTTGGAGAACTATAAGCAGTTGGAACCAGAGCAGGCTAATTGCAATGTCACTGGATTCCTTAAATCGTTGTCAATGGATTGTTTGGTCTTGAAAACAACATAGCTGTTATAAACTTGTAGAGAATGTGGTTGAGGGATGGAATGTTATATCTTAGGCTTTCTGTATTTGTGGCTCAAATGGAAAGGATCCAGAATGTTTGATTCAATGTAATCTCCATCATACAAGGATGGGCAGGACAGATGCCCTTGCTAATTTAATGTTTTTAAAGACTTGTAACTTGCATTCTTCCATGCAGATATGTCTGTCTTAAAAATGCTTCATAATTAGAGTGCACACATAGCTAAGTAGTTTGATGGTTGAAAAGGGAATTGGGAACGCACCCTTGTGTCTGCTGCAGCCTTTGCCAGATGGCCTAGAGCTAGCTTTTCACTCAAATCTGAATGTCAGACGGAGTACATGGCTATGTTCCTGCAGAGCCAGAGGCAAGCCTAGGGAGTACTGCAGTCTGTGATTCTTTCCAAGATAATTTTTGCAGGCCTTACTAACTGAACAAGTGCTTAGTCATGTTCTTATTAGATGGCCATATTGTTTTTAATTTTGTTTTTTGTCAGATTCAAATGTTTCACAACTTTGTGTGTTTATGAAAATAAATAATCATTCTTGGTTATCTTCATCTGGAGAGAAAAGATTTCAGGAGTCCCTGGGGGTCATGTTCCACCTGGCAAATTAATTCCATTAAGATGCTAGAAGCAAACAACCTTGCCCACCTCCACTCCCAAAAGACTGAGTGATGATGAGTGTGTAACTCGTGTATAGATAGTGGTGTAGTTAAAAAGGCAGGTAAGTGTCCTGGCTGGGGGCTCGAGAGATAGGTGAAAGTGTGGTTTTCAATATTTGTCATCTCCTCATTATTGCTCTTCCCACCACATGTAAATCTTCAGCATCAGAAGGCAGTAAAGGGCCAAGCTGCTTTGAGCACAGGGGATTTACAGACTGTGCTTCAGCATAGAGGGCTTGGGCTCTCAATGACAAACCCAGCAAAGATCAGTCCCTTAGAGACAGAACTTTCACATGAAACTCTGAAATGAGTTCGAAGCCCCATTGTCTTAATCCTGGAACTTACAAAACCATCAAAATTACTTGATAATGAAGAACAAACATTATTAATTCCTACTTTCCAGGACTGACATAAATTGATTTAGGTATTTATTGATATGAAGGATTTTATGGGAATGCTGTATGTCATTAGCCAGGAGCAGGGTGGGAGCTCATGACTCTAAACCCTGTCTACCATCAACCAAACATAGCAGGACAGGCTGATGACTCATTCTTGGCCTCAGGGTCCTTCTGACTCTCCCAGGCAGCTTTACGATGTAGACTTTCTTTTTGCGGCTACTCTAGTCATGCTCATTAAAGAGAATCTACTGCATGATGTATATTTTTTAAATTACAATTTTAGAGGCAGAATGGCATTTTGGATAGATTACTGGCCTTAGCATTAAGATGTAGGTTTGCATATTGGTTTTGCCACTTAATAACTGTGTGACCTTAGAGAGGTCATTTTCCTTCTTCAGGTAACATAGAGTCATAAGCAAGCTAGAAAAGATTTTAAAGAACATCTCTTTAAGAAAAACACATCTGTCCATTTTCAAGATAAGGAAACTGAGACCTAAATAGTAGGTGGCAGAGAAGAGAATCAAGTCCAGACCTTTTGACTCCCAGTAAAGTACTTTTTCCACTGTGATACACTACTATATAACTTGTCAGAAGATTATATTAGAGTTATAGATAATAGAGATGAACTAATACAGCAATCCTGTTTAATCTTTTGTATCAATTGTAAACTTCTTGAAGGTCCCATAGTATAGGAAATGCTTAAAAATGTTAGTTGTTTTGAATTGAATTTTATAGTTGAGGAAACTGAGGCCCAGAAAAGTGACTTGCCAAAGGTTACAGTGATTAAATGGCAGAGCTAGGACTAGAATAGCCTTCTGGCTCCTAGGTCAGTATCTTTTTCACTGTGTCTCAATGATCTTGAAAATCCTTTCCCATTCACAATTCAGAGATTTCTGGGATGATCCACATTCTTCCTCAATTATTTGTGCAGCTCCCTCTACCTCCAGAAACCTTGGCTTTAGAAAAGAGCTGTATTTCCTTAATTCCTAACTTTAGAATAAAGCATTTAACTTTGGAGGTGGCAAGTGACCCAGCAGCTAGAACTCAGGACTTCAAGTCAGGAAAAAACTGGGTTCAAATTCTGCCTCCAGCACTAACTAGCCACATTACCCTTGCCGAAGTGCTCAAACTTTTTGGGCCCCAGTGTTTTCACTTGCAAAATGGGAATAAATATAATGTCTCTTTCATAGGGAAGTTCTGAGCATCAAATAACATAATGTGCATAAAGTACTTTGCAAACGTTTTTGTTAAGTGGTTTTTTAGGCATATCTGACTCTTTGTGATCCCATCTGAAGTTTTTGTGGCAAATATACTGAAGTGGTTTGCCTTTTCCTTTTTCATCACTTTTTAAAAGATGAGGAAACCGAAGAAAACAGGGTTAAGTGACTTGCCAGGGTCATAGTAAGTGTCCGTGGCTGGATTTGAACTCATGAAGATGCATCTTTCTGGCTCCAAAGCCCAGTGCACTATGTACTGAGTTGCTTTGCTGCCCCTTGCAAACATTAAAGCGCTTTACAGTTGTGAGTGAGTCATTATTATGACTATTACAGTAAAACAGTCTTTTATTTGTCATTCTTGGATCTTGTCTCACCTAATGGAGCTCTCTCTTTGACATTTCCCTAGGGCAGGTCTGCACAACATATGACCCATGCCCTGCCAAAGGATTTCTGGGGGCCCCATGAAGAATGTATGGTTGCCACTGCCCACTCTTTCCTGTGTGTGGCAATCACTATCATTAGTGTGTCTGTAGTCTAACCTATCTGGGGCCAAAAGAAGTTTACAAGTTGTGCAGGTCTGCCTTAGAGCTTTCAAGGTTTAGAAAGTATTTTTATTCATTATCTTATTTATCTTCACAACAATCCTATTGTTAAATAGTCCAAGTTGTGTTTTTATACCCATTTTGCAGATGAGGAAACAGAGGTTCATAGAGGTTAGGTGGTTTGTCCAAAGTCACACAGCTAACAAGTGACAAAGCAGGAATTTATACCCAGGTCTTCCATCTCCAAATCCAGTACACCTTTCACAACTTCAAGGCCGGACGTCCACAAACGGTCAGGGATGTCTCTGTGCTTCACCTGTTTATTGTGTTCTTTATGGCCCCTGTCCCTTAAAAATGTTTGCCAGTATCTCAGTGCTAAGCCCTGCCTATCTATATCACTTCATTGGAATACCCATACCTAGACTTATTCTTCACTGACTCTTTCATTCTCTTTACTTTTTCCAAACTTTGATAACCTTATAAAAAGTTTCCTCTTCCCCCTTGTCTCTAGGATTTTTCTCTGCTAGGGTGTAGCTAGTAAAACTTACAAACAAATGCACTAAGGTACATTAACTGGATGGGTTAACATGTTATTCTTTGCAGCTAACATAGCTCTTTTAAACTGGGGGCCTGCTAGAAATAAAATCTGAGCTTAAAGTTTTAATTCTAATGGCAGAAACTTTAGGAATTGTAGTGGGAAAACATTTTTGGGAAAAAAAGAGAGCTCTTCCCACACCCTAAATCAAATCCTAAACCAGGTGGCTGCCCTCTCCCCCTGAAGTAGCCCTGAGTTGGGATGGAAGGTGGAAATCCTCTCTGGGGCCCTGCATTCCCCTGTTGCAGATCTGTTTTCACATTGTGTAAATGTGTGTGTGTATTTAAGGGCAGAGATAAGATAGTCTTATAAGTAAGGAAAAAAGTTTTTAGGGCAGGTCTCTGTCTCCACACCATTCACCTTCCCAACATCTGACATGTCAATAGCTTCTTCAGGGATGTTCATTTGGGGATTGGGGGAAGGGTGTTCAGTGGATAATAGATAACGGTAACTTCAATCCAGAATGGAATCACCACAGTCTATCTGAGTACAGACAGGCCTGTCAACACTGGACCATTGCCTCATGCCAAGGGACCAAACTCT